GACAGAATGAGGAAGCAATCTGTGCCGCAACTTTCCGGAGGGGGACAGACTTTCAGACGATGTCTTTACACACCCAGGGAGCACCCCAGCCTCCCAGTGCCTGATCTCACGCCTTGCAACAGCAGCCTTGTCTCTAGAGGAAGAGGGGTCTGCAGGCTCGGAACTGGAGGAATCCTGGCTTGGGCCCCGGCCCAGGCAGCACCCCTCCCCTGCCCATTCCTCTCCTTCCTACAGCCAAGGACACTCACCAATCTGGGACTGGGCCACCAGAGTGGAAGTGCGGTCGCAGAGTGGAGAAAAAGGCAGACCAAGCTCTGCCTCCTTATCACCCTGGAGAGAGAGGACACCTCAGACCCACCAGCCAGTGGGTTGCTGCACATCTTTGACTAGGAAGCGAGTGATATGGAAATGGATGCCACTGTGGACAACCAATATTAAGCTTTGAGGATACATTTTTTGTTTTGTTTTGTTTTTTGTCTTTTGTTGTTTTTGTTGTTATGGGTGGTGGTTATGGTACTGGGGAAGGCCCAGGGCCTTCACACTGAGATAGATCTGCAGCTTTTCTTCTAAGACTTAGTCTCACTAAGCTGCTAAGTTGCCCGGGCTGGGCTCCAAACTGTGATCTTTTTATCTCACAGTGGGCCCAGGGTCAGGTCAGAATCAAAAAGTAGCTGAATAAAGATCTGGAGTAGAGGTGGAGGGAAACTTGCAGAACAAAAGGGGCAAGAAGGCCCCCGTGAGCAGGAGGGCAAAAGTGCCACACTACCTGGCGGAAGAATTCCTCCATGAGGGCCTTCGTCCAGCGGCTGTGGACTGACCACTGCTTCGTTGGGTGGCTGATGTCAGCAGCATGGAGCAGCAGGGACAGGGCCTTGGACTTGTCGATCCTGGTTGGGGCCGGGGTCAAGGAAAGGGAAGCCGATCTCTTAGGAGAAGGAAGCCTGAGCTGTCCTCTAGCCTCCCATCACTCGTCCCCACTCAGACCTACAAACCTATAACTTCATCCTTTCATATAACCTCAGACAGGGACAGGGACACATGCACACACACATGCGCGCGCGCACACACACACACACACACACACACACAGCAGAGGTGGCAACACAAGTTTCCACAGCTGAGAACCCAGGCTCTGGGAATCGAAGGGCCCAGGTTTGAGTCCCCACGCACTACTGTACGATGGCTGTGTGATATGAAGCAAGGGACTTAAAATACCCACATTTCATTTTAAGGCCTAAAATAGAAATAACAACTCCAACAGATACTTAGCTGTTCTGAAATTAAATGATATACAACAAAATAAGTATTGAGAAGAGTGGCACATAATAAGGGCTTGGAAGATTATAATGACGATGCTGATTATAATAATAATCATTATTGTTCTACCCCAACAATGCCCTGCCGGGGCACTGCACACACACAGACACCATACACAGAGATTAACACACTCCTTCAAGTTACATACAATCATAGTCCACTCTGTCCTAATGCATTTATATACTCCCACCTACTTCTAAGCCCTACATGTAATTATGGCATTTGTTCTGTCCTCTTTTCTTAACCTCGCATGACTCTCCAGTAATCCTATTAGAGTAGGAACTCTTGGCCAACAGTGTGGAAGGAGGTGTATCATTTTCACTATTTCACAGATACAGACATTGAAGTCCAGAACAGTTGAATGAATTTCCCAACATTCCACAGTAAGCCTATCCTAAAGTGACAGTGAAAGAAACCTCATAGCAGACTCTAAGCCCGCAGGGGCCCCCAGTCGACCAGCTGCCCAGACTGTAGGGAACCCAAGGCCACATCACGTACACCACACCACACCACTTCCACACAGATGCACTCAGGTAGATGCCCAGAGCCATCAGTCTCCACACCCAGGTAAAGTCCTGGCAACCAACTACCCAGTGTACACTTAAGTCACATATCCTTCCCTCTGGCCTGGCCCCCAACACACCCCACCATGTGCTACCTCTCTAGCTGCTGCAAGGCTGTCTTCATGGACTTTACTTGCTGGAAATGGCAAGACATGTCTGTGGCCAACACCATCTCGATGACCAATGCCCTCAGCTCTCTGAATGGACAGAGAAAGAGAAGCACTCCCTGAAGCACTGCTGACAGGGACAGCAGGAGGTGGGAAGAGGGCTGTGATAAGTAAGGGGTCTGTTAGGGATGCTGAGTAGGGCTTCTGCTCACACAAACTCATCCTTAGTGAGGTTGATGAAAATGTTCATCTCGTCATCCTGCATCATCCGGAACACAGAGCTGATGTGGTGATTTTCCAGCACGGAACGATCATTGTACAGGATGGCACATTCTGACCTGCAAAAATTGAAGGTCATCAGGTTCAGCTCCCTGAGAGGCATCCTCTGATGACCTCCTCCACTCCAGCCGGTCCCTCCCACCCCTGGCAAGGCCCCGCCCCTCACTTGGTCTGGATGTGGAAGCTGTTGGTAGTGCCTGTGTGCTCATAGTCATGGATGGCTGCAGCAAAGATGATGGCCAAGACCTCAATCTCTGACAGGCAATGCTAGGGGAGAAAGACGGGATGAGAGAGAGCCAACACCCTGCCAGTCACCACCTGAAGACCTCCCCACACAGGTCGGACCACTTAGCCCATCTTCCATTCCTCAGGGCCAGCTCTTGGGTAAACGCAGCTGGGATCTCAGCTCCTAGAATGCTGAGGGACCATGCTCCACCCCCACCTGCACCATACCCACTATATCCCAGCATATGTCCTCAGCACTACTCCTGAAATTCTGTCACACCTGGGAATTCTCTAGTGTGAGTAAATCCAATCTGATTCTGTAAAGGCTTTGAGATGCCAAAAAAGAAGAACCAGAGTGAGGAAAGTGGAACTGGGAGGGTAGGCATGAGAGTGCACCCCCAGAATTCAAGCACTCTGGGGGCAAAAGTAGGAGGATCACAGGCTTGAGCCTAGTGTGGTTACCTTAATGACTTAGCAAGATCCTGCCTCAGGTATTCAGGACTGCTGATATATCTTAGTGCAAAAGCTCTATATTCAATCCGCGGTATAGAAAAGGAGAAGGAAGGGGAAGGAGGGGGGATTTTTTTTTAATGGAACTGAGGCTATAGCCTAGACTTCCCAGTTCTGAAGCTGTGGACACTGAATCACAGAGGAGCTGTCCTAAGGGCACCTACCACCATCCCTGTGCGAAGCAGGAAGCAATGGACCGTCTGGGTAACATCAGCTGCGTGGATCTGGTTGTGGTACGGATTCTTGTATTTCCCATAGCCTGTCTCCAAGGCCTCCAGGAAAGACATCAAAAAAACAGTGGGAATCTGCAGCAGGCAAAAGGAAATCAAGCTATACCAAGGCTCTGCAAGAACAGAAGTAACAGGGCTGAGCTCAGCAATCCCATCATCCTGTAGGAGGCAGCGCGGCACAGGGAGAGGGAGCTTGGACTCTGCACAAGAGAATCTGGGCTCACATCCTGGCTTGCCAGCTGCTGGCTGTGTGACCTTGTGCAAGTCACATGCTTTCTGCCCCTCAGATACTTATTTGTAGAATGAAGATAGTAACACCTACGTGGAAGAGAGAAGTACAAGGCACTTAGCGAGTACTCTCCAAAGAGCAGCTATAAGTATTATTATTTCCCTGGAGATTGTTAAGGAAAGAAAGCTTCCCTCCTCCTACCTTCCAACCACCCTGCCACATCCCCAAATCCAAAATCATAGAGAAGGGCAGAAGGCTCAGAAGCAGGGGAAAGAATAAAAGAACCTAGAGAGAGGCCCCTTCCAGCAGAAGTGGGTCACCCACTCTTCTCAGAAGCTTTCCCTGCCCACCTCCCCTCCACATACACTGACACCTGTGCACCACACAACACACACACACACACACACACACAGAGGATCCAGAGTTCTAGCCAGCCTCTCTCAATTCTGCCCTAGTCTATACATGTGCTTCAGTATCTCTGCCTCCTTCAAAAGGCTTAGGTTCCCAGAGGGCACAGCTGGTATCACCTGTCCCTGGACTCCCTTAGACTGGAAAGACACTGAGGTTCAGGGACTTGAAGAAGCTTCTGTAAGGATGAGTTACAGAGTAACAGAGACACGGAGGATGTGCCATTAATCAGACCCTAACATCACCCCCATCCCTACCCCTGGAGGGCTGTGCCCCAAATTCAGGGATTTTAAAGGACTGTTTCCATGACAACTGCCCTTGCTTTTTGTGTTGCCATGGTGTCCCTGGAGGGAAGGGAAGAGAAAGGAAGGAGCAGGGAAGGGCTGGGTGCCCAGGAAGAGAATATGGAGCTAGAGAAGGGTGTGTCTGGCTGAAAAACCATCAGCAACTCCCTCTTGCTGACAGCTTAGGAGCCAACCTGGGGCAACTACTCTTGGATCTGCCAAACCCAAGCCCTCCAGGTAAGAAGGCAGAGTTTGGGAGAAGCTCAAATTGAAAGTACTCTTAAGAACTGGTGTGGGGCTGGAGAGATGGCTCAGTGGTCTAAAGCACCTACTTAGAACAAGCTTGGCAAAAGCATCAGGGACCGCGGTTCGATCCCCCAGCACCACATGCC